TATAAATATAAATCTATATAATATAACTATATAGTAATAAGAGTTTGCTTCCTTAAAGGTTACAGAGCCCTTATTAACAAACATTAGACTGCTATACATTACTCTGTATTGCAGTTACCGAGCCCACTTTACTAATATATCCCCAGACCTGGATCCATATTTGGATTCCGGTCATAGCCGAGCAGACCCGGGTAAGGCAGGTACGCGTCCCTGGCGTTTAGGTTTATAAACGTGCCTAGTTTGTTGGGGACTCATACCCGCACAGCCGGCTGTGCGGGTATGACTCGCCTAGTTTGTTGAATAGCCTTCAAAGCCTTAGTCATCACAAGACCGACCGGATCTGTAGTTAATACCGTCAATACGAGAAAACCAAGTGACGTGGACGATCCACTCAACGTGATCTCTTCACTGTATCGCAGCTAAGCCCACTATTGAGAGCTATTTCCACTTGGGTGGCGCCTGGTCTCTGGTGTTGGAGGAATAGCAATTACAAAAGAAACTGTACTGGTCAGCATGTCACTAGCGATTGACGATGTTCCTTTAAAGGGGGTCTTTTTAGAAATAAAAGATCTTTAGTATACAGTTCGAAGTGGAGCGCAGCAAATGTTATCACAATACTCAAGTAAAACAAGGCCCCGCGGACCGCGATGAATGAAATCTACCACGACTAAAGAGGAATCTATAAGAGCAAGTCAGGAGCGAGACTCAGAGCCACGAACCTACTCACTGTCACCACCTCCCATTCGCTCCCGCAAGCAGCCAACGAAGCTGTCGAACTCGCGGTTATTGCCGTGCCCGTGGCGACATGCTGAACCGTCGAATCTCTTTAACCAGCCCCAACTAGCATCGTACTAGCTGCAGTATACGTGCATCCCAAGGCGAGCGACATTGCATTGGTCGGCCCGATATCTTGGTAAAGAAGCCTGAAAGTCTTGAAGTGCTTGCGCCATGGTAACTAGTTATACGAGCTGGCCGATAAAAGTGCACTACAACTCAACACTTCCCCACCACGAGGTTAGCCCGCACTTGCATTCCCCCCCATTGATTGCCCTTGCAGCCACACTAAACTCACTCCACCTAGCGTGGAAGCGGTGCTACCGACGCGTCCGCTATGAATGACCTGCTCCCAAGACGACACCTCTGACCCCTTTTCCTACCGTCGAAGCTGAAGGCCTATCAATTTATATGATCCAAGTCGACATCCCACAGCCATCCCCATCAAATCCATTCTCTATTACTCAGAGATGAAAGGTGGGCGTGTCGCTGGGTCAGTTTGCGTCGCGTTCAGTTTCTAGAAGGGGTTTGATTGACTCAGGGAACGTAATAGCGCTACCTTGCCGTGAAGCACATTTAATAGCCGCGCAAGGATGCGCGTCATTTAACCCCTTTGTGTGCTTCATTCTCTTCCTATCCCTAAACCTGCCTCAACATGCATATCGTCGCCATAAACCCTCCTGATCATCGACACTTGACTCTCCTTGACTGATTTTATGTCTTTGTTTTAGAGTCACAGCGTCCTCCATGAACACATTCACCTCCTGACCACCCATCCTGAGGAGTCGCGGTCCCGCATACCCGTCACAAGCGCCAACCATGAACAACTACGAGATTATCCGAGGCGACCGTTTCTCAAGAGAGTCTTCGAATCACGATTCGCGCGCTGAAACGCTCCCGGGCGACAGCCCTTGATGGAGACATCGCTAGCATGTCCTCGCCTCTATTACATTCTGCGTCGCAGGCGCAGAGCAATCCCGTCTCAGGGCTCCGAGTATTCATAGATCCCCTACCAATAGAAAATTACTTCGAATGGTCATTCAGTGTCACCAGCACACTACGGGACTGGCAGGCCGCTCTTGCCTTGCACCCAAAGTCAAGATGTACACATTCCGGATTTAGATATAACGTTCTCTGTCATTGGTTCTACGATAATAAGCATAATTTGATCATACGTGGCGTTCTGGGTTCGGAAAGCGACAATCCATTTCGGGTATGTTTCACAATGCGCCTATCCCGCGATCACCGACAGTTCTGACGCTGACGATCGCGAAGAAAGGTCCTCACTATGGACCAAGCTAGTCCTCATGTCCACTAATTCGTGTACCTTGACTTCTTTGGGGATCTGATTCGTGTCTGGTCCGCCTACTTGCAAGTGCTCGAGTGTTGGGATGATTTGTTTGTGAGAACCTAGTAGAGATGAGTAGAGACAGAGAAATCGTAATCTAGATTGGTATCTATGGTAGGTCTATGATACTGAGGTGACAAAGAATAAGTGGTGTCATTCGGCTCAGGCGGACGACGCAAGCCAGTCTCCTTGCGACAGCCCGCCACCTCCAATCCAGATGGTCCAACATGGCCCAGAGTCGGATATGCACTTCCCTGCGTAGTCAGTCGGGAGAAATACTTGTGTAACAGCATCCTATGGAGATGAGAAGAGGATGGACCGACAGTTGTGGCCTTGTTGGCTGTCTTGAACCTCGCTCAGTCGCTGTCAGCTGTCCTCTTAGGGTAAGAGAACTCCTAACGTAGAAGAACTGCCAAGAATACCTCATCTAAGATCCACTAAAGCCACCCTAAACTTATCTAGACCTTCTTTCGACTTTTGTGAGGGTTAAAATTCTCCTGGTGAATGGAGTCTTGCTAGTATCCGCGCCACAGGGTAAAATTCTCACAATTTCCCCAGCCGCAATTGGAGCATCTTTCGATCATTTGAGATGGTTGAAGTGAGAATACCAAATGTCTATCTGTCTGTATGACTATAGATTGCGATAATACCCTTTAGGAGCAGTTATTGATGTTGCGAAGTCCAATTGCCTCTGGAAATATTCATCTCAAGTAAGGGGCGAGCGCACCCACGACCATCAAAGTCTTGGGGGGAGTCTCCCCTGTTCTCCATGCTCACTTCCAAAAGGGTCCCTTGTCGTGGTGTAACAAATGATCACGTTTTGAGTCAACAAACCCATTATCTCCAATTCATGTATAAAACAGAGGTAGAACTACGGCAACACGGAGTGCCTCTGTTCCCAAACAAGACTTGCCAATTGACCAGACCGCTACAAATCGGGACTGTTGCTAGAGTCTCAAGCAGAAATGCGGTATTACGAAGGGATTAGCTTCACAAGTTCTGGTGAGGACTAGAAACCCTTTTCTTCCTTCAAAGCATCCATTTCTGGCTTTATACTCAGGACATTGGCCTGTATTCCGAGGTCCACTTCTTGACGTTTTTGACCATCCATCAGGACCTTTTGCATTTATCTTGGGCGACTACCCTGCACAATTTGATCCGACCCAATTCCTTTTCGTCCCCTTGGTCAAAGTGTAGGCCCGTGTTTAAATCGCCATGGCCTCCATACTTTGAGCTCAGATAACTTCTCCCTTTAAAGCACTCTCCCTTCACCAACAGCAATGCAATGCGATTGATCTGATATACAACTATTCAAGGGAGTCAGCACCACGACCAGCGTCACTGTTTGAGCCGGAGCAAAAACATATTGGATAACAGTTGGCCCAGGCGCAATTAATACCTACGCCTAGTGGGCTGCAACGGATCAAATACCTTTGTCAAGTCGCGTCAATGTCGTTTTTGGAATGTGACTACGCCCCGACATGGACGCTTGCAAAGAATGCGACACGTTCTTCCTACAATGCGACGCACAAAATCTTTCACTCGCCTTCCGCATTTGGCGCCCGAGCCACTGCGAGTCTCCACAAACATGACCAAATACCAGTCCACTTTTCATAATGACATGAAACGCTTCCGAAATCGCCGGATCAAGCCAGAGACAATGCAGAACTTCCCACTAACTCCGCTGCCGTATGCAGGGGCCACCGCCCCACCTTTGCGAGCTTTGATCAACTCTCCCATATCACGATCCGTATTCACTCCGCTTCCACTGCCGGAACTCAATCCGTGCATCTACCGAAACCAAGACGCATGTTTCGACCAACGTTCCCAACAACTCAACTCAAGCCGGCTTTTTCAGGGGCTCGAGGGGGGGGGGGGGGGGGGGTCTGATTTGAATTGAGTTAAATCTAGCCAATTAGAATTGAGTTAAACAAGTCGACTTGCAGATCCCTAGTCTAGCCTAATTAGGTAAGGTTAGCCCCAAAAGGGGCTTTTTTTTTGCTGACTAATTAGCTAAGATAAGATAAGAAACCCTACCCTAGGTCTTAGGAAATTCCTTAAAAAAAGAAGTAAAAGATACCTATATATTACTAACTTTACTAGCTGACTTGCTGACTTTTAAGTCAGGACCTAGGTAGACTTGACTTATGGCCTTTTTTCCTGACTTGTAAGTCAGGGGGTCGGGCTTAAATTGAACAAGCTGACTTGAGTTATTGGGAACGTTGGTTTCGACTGCCGAGATGGAGTCTCAGCCACCTAGATCGCCAACCCCTGTTCAGTATAGCTGCGATACTCACAAATGCCCATGCTTTCAGGTCTAACGGGATTAGACTTGGTACCAATCCACGTGTCCTTTACCAGGAAACACGCGTCGCGTCCAATGAGATGATGGTTGGTTGGTGTCCGAATTGGGGAACTTTCTTATTCCTGGCACGAGGAACTGGTTCCCTGGACCACTACGCCGCTTTGGACGGGTGACGGAGGAATACTTGATTCATAGATAATAAAAAGACTTGGTTACTCATCATTAGATTTGATGAAGGTAAATCGTAAGCTTATGTGACATTGATCTCCAACATACAGTTCTTTTTTCATATCCCGTCACTTTCAACCTCACTTCGACCTCCAATTACATACAATTCTCATCCATCAATTTATTCCATTCGTCACTTCGACTCCATTATCGGTCCCACGTCCTCACTTCTTGTCCCTCTCCATACTATTCCAGTACCAATCGTGATCGATCTCACGTCTGCCCTCAAGCCGAACCACTCGTCGGCTGTCGCGAAGGGCTTTGAGTACATCGCGAAACATCCGGAGATTAAACTTTTGTCCAGAGTCCGAGCCGATAAAGTCGGTGGAAGTATCGTTCGCTTTGTGGTCGAGCACTCCCAGGTCCCCAAAGATGAGGAGACTCGACCTCTGTCGGGTCAAAGCGACGTTGAGACTCCGGGGGTTGGCAACAAACAATGGACCACTTTCGCGGGTCACACACAGAGCAACAACCACAATCTGAGCCTCGCGGCCTTGGAACGTGTCGAAGGTCGAGCAAGTCACGCCCTGCAGCTCAGGCTCCTTCTTGAATCGTTTCCCGATGGCACGGAAATTTGCTCGGTATGGCGTCAGGACGGCGATATCAGCCGGAGATAGCTTCAACTGCCGGATCATGTCCACAAGGAGGACTGCGATGAGGTCGGCCTGTCGGGGATTGAGGCGGGACTCATTGTCGGGATACTTCCGGATGCGGCAGTCCCGGCAGTCAAAGAAGACGGGCGCGAGGGTGTTACTGGCAGGGGCCGGGATCTTATACTTCCCCTGAAGGTACTCCTCCACATCAATACCGATGGGGAAGTTTGTGATGCGACACAAAGGGCTGTACTTGAAATGCGGCTTCAGACTGGTGTACACAGTGTCCAGTGACAGGTCGAAGAGATTCTCGGCCATGCGATGCTGCGTGTACAGGTGAAAGACTGGCCATCCAAGGTGGATGAACCATGAGAGCCAAGAGATTTGCGCAAATTTTGCGAATCGGTTCGTAGGCCAGAGTCGCATGGCGTGGTGGTCGCTCCAAGTTTCCCATGTACGCTTTTGGCGACGGATCTGGAGCAACTCGAAAGCGGTAGAAAGCACTGGAGCGAGTTGCATGGGGTCGCCGATGGCTATCATTGGTCGAGGAGTATTGCCAAACACCAGTACACCGTCTGAACAGAAGAGTGTCGCCGCTTCATCAAAAATAACAGCCCGGGCTTTGTCGTTGAAGGTCCTGTAGATCCGACTCGCTGATACAACAGGCGTGGTCGCGACAACATTGGCACATCCAAGAACAAGCTGCATGAGCTGGCGAAAGACCTTGGCGTGCTGTTCCCTCGTCTGTATGGCCGTGTACTGAGCAACCGACAAGGAACCCCGTGCAAGCTTCACTAAGGAGCGGAACTTTGAAATGTTCGCATCAGATGCCGAGTCGCAGGGCGCGCTGAGTCTCTCGTGAAGGTCAAACAGTTCGGCGTTGTCGTTCAGGGTCAGGGCGGGTACGGCAGAAGAACCCAGAACCCGCAAGGTCCACCAGCAAAGCGAGTGCTCCAGCTTCCAAGGCGACGGATTCCAGATACCGTATTCCGGGAGAGGCTTCCCGAACAAGACTTTGCTGCAGTTCTCGGTCTCTGTGTTGAGACTGTAACCACGAACCAGCATAAGATGCTTGACTTCGACACCAGCGTCGATGAGACTTGTGGTTGTCTTGGTGGCGACGTCTTGAATTCGTTCGAGAATGTTGTCTGTAGCTCCGTTTGACGCTGCGCTGACATAAACTTGCCCAAGGGAGGGATTATGGCACATGAGAACCACGATGGCGGACGCGAGATGAGACTTTCCTGTCCCAGGCGGACCTGTTACCAACCCGAGGCCATGGTGCAACTTGCTAAAGTATGTCTGAACACGTTCTCTGTCATCTTCAAAGACGTTTTGAAGGCACGCGTCTCGAATATCCGGAGGCACATCGCGGAGGAGATCAAAATGAGGGAGGGCTGTCTTCACCCCTTCCTTTTCAAGATCCCAAAGGCCTTTTCCAATCAGGACTTCGTTGAATACGAGTCTCTTGAGAACAGCGAGAGGGTCAAGCTTCTTGGCGGCCGGAAAGACTGGTCCGCTGCTTAAGAGGTGGATAGCATTTACTCGCTGCATGTCGCCGTGAAGCCCAGATTCTAAATGGAGATGTATGTTGTCACGTCGAGACTCTTTTGCCGTCTCGTAATCGTCGTAAGCGATCGGATTGAAGTCATGGCCCAAGCCTGTGGGTCGAGTGAGACCAAGAGCGATACGATTGCGGATGTCGACGTCGTTCAACTCTTCACAGGTAGCATATGTCAGAGGAACTGCATCCCAAACGATCATTCCAGTCTGGTGCGTCTCATCGCGTGTTTTCAAAGTAAATTCGACCTTGATCTTGTTGAGGTCTCCTCGTAGCGCACGACGGGCAGCGCGCCAATGTTCCGCCTCCTGTCCATGTTAGCTGAGATTATTTGCGGATCGTAACACTTACGAAAATGCCCTTTAACTCCAGAAGACACACAAAGTTGACGCTCTTCTTGACAGAATCCGGGCCGACCTTCTAGATCAACGCTGGCGGTTCAAAGGCCTCAATCTCTTTGAGCTTGTTGTCGAAATCCCATACATCCTGCACATGAGTCTGGGTGAGTGCTGTGTTGCGCTCGTTCTCGTTCTTGAAGCGGACCGTCGGAGGAAATGCCGGCCCTCTGTTCGCAGGGATTTGTCGGCTGTACCGGTCCATGTCCCACCAGTGCCTGTGATGTTAGTTTCGCCTTGAGAGGGATGAGAGACTCACTCTTCACCATATCCATAGTCGAGGGGGGTGAGTTGGGAGTTGATGGTGCTGACGGCGCGTGTGATCTCAGCGCTGGTGGCCTTGACGAGCAGAGTGAAAGTGTGTTGGTGAAGGATGCATGGCAAAGAAATGATATCCTTGATCAGAGTGTGCTGATTAACCCAAGAGTCCACAATCTCATTTGTACCATGAAATGGCAGGCCAAATCCGGTGACCGTGGTGCTTTTTTGGCACTTGATGTCGATGATCTTGTATCGGCTTGAATCCCCCGGGAGGTGGCTGCTGAGGGCGGACTTCTCATGAGATGTGAGGTCGTGAAAGTTCAGAGTGAACCCTTGCGGCGGAAGCTCGATTGTAATGTGATGAAGCGCCGACTCGGTCATGGTCAGGTCCGCGCTGTACCAGCTGAAGATCTGGCGGTCCGGGTCGCGTAGGAACGAAAGCCGTATCCCTTTGTGGTTGAAGTGGACGACGAGGTCGGGAGACGAAGGGATGAGTCTGAGCGTACCCTCATCCGCATCGCGAATGATGAGGTCGCACGGTAGTTGCCGGCGATGAGTCGCCATGGCTGTTGGGCGCGTATGAGGCGGTGGCGAGGGTTCTGGGGTGAGATGCTGAAGCAGGAAAACCACGAGTGAAGAGAAGTGGTGAAGCAGGTTGAGAGTTGCCTCGAGGAAGCGGGGTGCTTGAGGTTACACGAGGAGCGGCAGCGGGAGAAAAAACAACACTCGGCGAGACCAAGCGTCAGTGAATCACGCTAGCCTCTTTGGGTTGATAGAAGATGTCCTTATAGAGGTCACGATAGCCAATGACAGCCCTTCTCACTACCTGTTGGATGCTGAGGTCTGGGTGCACTCAATTTTAGGAACGCCAATCAACTTGGGGCCATACCGGGATGATAAAATTGACCAGGTGTGGCAGAAATCTCAGTCCATGTCTTCCTTGAGGAGTATCCTGTTGACCAGATGTAGTTTTGAGATATTTTGTCTACAGGGAAATGAATTCTTTCTGGATAAGAATTAGGTCAAGCATGAACTCGATGTTCTCGTAACCACATCCAACCACTGATCGAGACCGTACTCAGTACAAGGGGCAATCTGTGAAGACCGGGCTGATCGACGACGGGAGGTAGGAGAGAGAGAAAGGTACGTACCGGGGCAAATCTACGACAGGCGGCACATTCCCTAACAGTCACTAATGTCCACTGATGTCCACTAGAACTACAGGCGGAAAACAGCAGCAACTCGGCATCAAACGGGAGGGGAGAAATAGGTACGTACCGAACCCGAGGGGCAGAAATCCGAAATCCCCCAGCGGGCGCCGAATCCACTAACAACCACTGAAGCCCACTGAAGGTGACTGAAAATGGGTGGGGAAAGGTACGTACCCAAGTGCAGTCCAAAAAACAAAATCCCCAAGCGGCGCCAAATCCACTGACGGTCACTGAAGCCCCCTGGAGCCTCGACTTGGCCGTCGTGGTCGATCAGAGAATGGGAGCGGAACAAGGTACGTACCTTACCTCCCTAAGGTAAGAGCCAAAGTCCAACAGGCGCTAAGTACATGAACAATTACTAAAGTCCACTGAACCTAGCTTTTAGTGGACTTTCCTTTCAGTGGACTTTGACGACCGTCAGTCGCTTGGGGGTGGGAGTCGATGTATGGCTGCGATTGGCCCTCTGCTTGCCCCGAGGTGTCGGAGTTGAGGATGAGGGTGTGGCAGTACCAGTGGAATGCTATTATAAAAGAATTAGGAGTTCTACCGATTAGCACCCTGTATTATCCTGTAGTCATGTACTTTACGTTTTGGGCGGCATTGTTTAAATACAACTAGTGCACGCTGCAATGCCGTATGGTTTTGGCTAGTGGATCGGTATAACGTACAGTCGGTGCAAGAAGACTTATGACATTGAACTGAGGTGCTAAAAATATTTAGTCTAAGATTCTCTAAATATATAATAAAGTATACTAAGTTTACCTAAATTTACCTGAGACTTTTTGTAACTGAGGATCAAGTTCCTAGGTTTTATTACATCCTCCTGTCTAGTTGCCTGACCCTTTCGTATGAGGGGCTGTCCATCGAGAAGAGAAGAGCCGTAGGCTGAATTTGCTTTGACATACATATCGATCTTGTTCAATTCGGTGGAGTGGAGTCTTTCGGAATTTCCTCTCTGTTCGGCAGAACTTTGACCATTCGACGTTGTCTTATATCGTGTCTTTGTGAGGCTTGCTTGCGGCTCGTGTGTCGCTCGGTTCGAGACAGGGTACATGATGGCTACGCTGAGAAGGACTGATATGGTCCGAAATGTCAGCAGAGTAGGGCGCCCAAAGGCTACTAAAGAATCTCCAGTCCCTCGATCAAAGATGGTGAGTTCTCACATGGACTCACACTACAACAGTCCTCCATTTCCTCATCATCAATATCGCCTGAGGTCCAAACCCCTCTCTTGCAAGCCCCCAGTCAACACCGGAAAATGATTCATGGAGTCCGTTTCTTGTACACATTCGCGTCTCCAGACATGAGCTTGGTTTCCGTCCCCTTGGGGAAGCAGGTGAGCCAGCAAGATAGCGGCCAACTCATTTCAGACAACTCAGATTGTCCTGATCGTAAGTTGGTGGATTTGTATTTGCCATGCCGGTCGAAGATATCCATTTATCGACGTGGAGTCCGGTGAACCAGCTGATACGCTCTGTAGTCACCAGGTTTATTGGTGTTGGTTTCGGATTGAAAAGGTTTGTCGCTTCAGAACGTCTCCTGACAAATCGCATCGGGTCTTCTCATACGTGAGTGAGTCGCCTTGCAGTCATCGAGCAACAGGCACATTCGACTCGTTGGCGTTTTTCGTGTCGTAATGCGCAGGATCGTTGTTCAGCATGGCAATAAATTGATCCTGAAAAAACAAACTCCGTCAGCATGACCACTCTCCTCAGAGAAAAGCGACTTGCCCGCGCTGAGTGGTGCCGCCTAAAGTTTACCTTGACTTCAACGATGGAGGCTAGACGGGATGGCGTGGGGAATGCGAAAGAATCATTCCTCGTTAGATGAAAGATGTATGAACATCGAGACGGTCGAGAGAAGGACCACAACTGGAACGTAATCGCGGTGAAAGCCTTGAAGGAGAAGAAGAAACAAGTGAGGTCGGGCCGCAGCGGGTAAACAGACTACCCCGCTCCGGTTTGTGTGACGCGATGCTCTGGATAAGGGCGCGAAAATGGGAGAAAATCTCAAGATTTATCTAACATTTTCATAAAGTCCCACGGTGTTGTTGCAGATGGGTGCTGCTTAATGATCAAATTTTTGCGTTTACTTGGAATATCCCAACTGACTGTCTCAGCTGAGTTCACTGTATGTAACGTGGCGCAGCTTCTCCGATGTGAAGACCAGTTATGAAGAGAGGCTTACGTGAGTTTCAATTTTCATAGCATCTGAAGCCATCATAATTGAGTCTTGTTTTTAATCGAAGAAGAGACTCCAGGGTAGCGTGACATCACCAACTCTTGCAAGGTTTAGTTGTGGATTCTTGATTAGCGTTTGGATATTGCCTGATTGAGACGACACATCCTTCATCATTGGCTATGACCCATAGTTAGACCCATTAGGAACTGGACCATCGGTGCTTTGAAGGCGACACATGCCTTGTGACCAGTGACCTGAACATATTCGCAGACATTGAACCTCAATAACTGTCTCTAGATGCCGTGTTTCTGATTTTTTTTATTGCAAAATGTTCAGTAATAAGACCTTACAACATTCATATAAAATAATCAACCCGGGAAGGCCGTAGGATAAGACGGATCAATTTGCACTTGAGCTGTTTCACCCAAACGAGACAGTGATTTTAAGCACGAATTATATCCGAGGCGGGAATATAACAGCGGATCTGTAACTATGTAAGGTTCTGAAATAATTCTAATGTCGGTGGACGATATTTATTATTGTCTGGCTGACGAATGTTTGTGATGTTGTTACACTTTGGGTTATGAGATGGGTCCCTATAATGACGCCCCCTCGATGAGCGTCTCATAGAATGCAGAGGCTACAATGGAATGTGCAACAGTTATGAGCGACAATGTATTATTTAATAACTAAAAAGGATTTACCGATCATAAGAGTCGTAAATACACATCTTTGGAGGACACGACGATGAGAATCTAATGAACAAGGTGAGACAGAGGTTCCCTGTTCTATATGTTTTTATGCCATCTGTAGGCGACTTCTCTCTTTTAACGACATCACTGGATACAACAGGTCATTTTATTGCCTTTAAAAATAACCTAATTCAACTGGAAGCTCACAGGTTGCAAGGGTGTCATTGATGTACTTAAATTGATCCCTCTGTAGCGAGGTTCTAGACTCTGGCCATATCTACAGTACTGGAGGACGTACCCACAGTGAGACAATGCCACTCTATTGTTGAAATGCCGGACTTATTTACGTATCATGCTTCCGACCTCCATTGACGGTCAGATTTCTTACATACAGCAGCAAGAGCTGCTTTAGATGTACTAAACTTTGCAAGGTCTCCTTTTACTTTAATTAAACGCAAGGCTTCTCTATTATTTCTCTTAACTACTAGAAATTATGTTCTGGCCCACTGGCGTTAGTTTTACAGCTGCTCTTATATTAAAACTGTTATAATAAAGATGCGGCTGCACTTAGTATAAAACTAAAGGAGGTGGTTTTATAAAAATCAAGACTATAAGTTATAGTTACAGGAATTAATATTATCTACTTTACATGTCATGATGATTAAGTGATCAGTAATAGTACAGAGTACCTTGAGAGGACGTATTGCCCATACTTGCGTTTGTTTCTCACCAACTCACATACTCAACACATGGAATATATCGACTTATTTGCACTCACCTTTTGAGCCATATGACAAGCCTGTAACTTATCCATACGAGGGTGTGATTGGCTCAAGAAGCTCGCACTCCCTGTAGCCGTCAACGAAGCCTTGCGAGACTGATGCCTTATCTAATCATAAAGATAGCCCGTGCATGTTGAGAAATTTTATCCTGACCGCTATCCAAAAGCTAACCTCCACAAAGCATCACCAACAGCAGCAGCAACAGCAGCAGCCCAACAACAACGCTCCTCAAGAAAAAACCTTTTTTTCTACACTGAATCACAATGGCTATTCAACAGTCCAACAACTCTGGTCAAGGCTCTGGTCAAGGCGGTTCCAGCCGTCCGCGACCTGGTCACGGCCATGCAACACCGAGCGATGATGCTCGCCCGCAGCAGATCAACAGCGAAGCTACGGCGCAGGCAACTCGTCAGGAAAATGGAGAGCTTAGTAGCCAGCATGGCAAAAACTCTACCAAGAATCGTGGCAGAGGTGGTGCCTCTTTCCACGGCGGATGGGCTGGCCCTCGCGGGGGTCGATCTCACCGTGGTGGTCGAGGGGGTTACCGCGGCGGGCGCCATGGCGAACACCGGGCTCGGGTACCCGACTATAGGCCTCTTGATTGTGTTCCGAAGTCCAGCCATGCTCAAGTGGCAGACCTTGGTGGTGCGGTGGCTAGCCGCTTGACCAGCAACTCACTGGAGGGTGGTGAAACCAATCACTGGTTCAGTAACAGAGACGCAGGAAAGGTCTGGGGTGTAACTTGTGGTGGTGGCGTCGACGACGTGATTGACGATGTCATGAAACGAACTGGTGCCACCTCTTGCCAGTTTTTCCTCATTCCAAACACTCCTGGCCGGTTCGATCAAATTGCTGCCAAGGCGGTTGAGATGACCTGGGAGGACAACAGTGGCTATAATGACCAGGGCAAGCCTGCTGGTATTCTCCGACACGGTGTCACCGAAAAGAAGAAGCCCATCAAGTGTGCCGCTTGTGGTAACAAGCGTCACACGCTGGCCACCTGCTTCTCCAGACCTGGTGGAAAGGATGGAGAGCAGAGCGGGTGTCCACGATGTGACACTATTGCACACCATGGAGGCGACTGCAAAGAGATTGCAGCCCTCCCACTTCATGAACAGGTCAAGATTCTCGTCTGCCAGCGAAGCAACATGAGCCCTTTCAAGGGACAGAAACCTTGGTGGAGACTCGTGCACGAATACGCCACGAGTAAGCACTATACTCCTAACACCATCACTTTCCTGCCATGGTCCAAGGAGTTTACTCTCGAAATGGCCAAGTCCAGACGCATTACGTCAATGCAGATGAGGCACGATACAGTAGCAGGATATAAGCTTCCTATAGATCAAGCTACTTTTGGCGCAGGTCCCGTGTATTGGAAGTACTGGCAGGCCAACAACCTGGCATGGCCTTCTGTCTTCGGTCCCATTCCTCCTCCTCCTCGGACTGGAGCTGCCCCTGGAGCTACCCCTCATGCTAGCACTGGTCCTGTTATCGGTACCCAGCCTCCTGCCTCCTGAGGTCCTTCCCTGAGGTTTCCCGCAAACATCGCCGTTTCAAGGGGTCTCATGCCCAACTCCGCTTCTGTTGTTAGTCAAGGCCCGGCACCTGGCAATGCTACCCACATCTCGGTACCTAACACAACCTCCTCCACCAAACCCGGTAGTGGGCGACCCGAGATCGACTATGAAGATCATGACATGTACTAGATCTCGGAGTTTGATGCCACTCACGATCCAAAGGTGTTGCAGGTGGACACAATCGTCCGGTCACTCCCTGATGTCTGGAGCTACTACTGGTGTATTGAATGCCGCCCCTGTCATCTTCGCGCTCATATTCTTCGATTTTGAAGGGAACATGGCATGGTTGTGGGGATGCATGGAAGCGATTCGATGTACGGGCTCTGTTGAGGGATTTTGATGGAAAGATTGGAGGAATAGGTTACAATAGTTAGACAGCAACGAAGAACAAGAGAACATAGCTGGCCATACAACTTTTTATTTGTGATTCAAACTAACTGACTTGTATGCATTCAGCAATGGTCACTAATGGGCGTCCTGCTCCAGGTTGGAACTGTGCTCCAAGTTCTCTGCAAATACATCTTGCTCACATCCTGTTCACAACTTGGTGTTCTCAGTAAAGCGTCCATTTGATTCAGAAACTACTTAGTGCTAAAGATCTTCTCCATGTAACCCTGCTCCACTCCAACTCCATCGCAAAGTCATATCGACTACCAGTTCCCCCAACAATCAATATCCATAGGCTTGTGGTGCTTGTCTTTCGCCATGTGAGCGAGGTTCGGAGTTGGCCATCTGGTAGCGAGGGTTCTTGGCAGATGCCACCAGGATGTCCAGGTGGGTCAGTTGTAAAACGTGTCGGTATCGATCGTGGCAAGGGGTGGTCTGAGGGATAAGGGAATGTCGTAAGACTCCAAAGACTGGCAGAAGGATTGTCAATATCGAAACGTAAAACTGTGTTCTTGAACGTACATGTCAAAAGCCGGCCGTAGGGAGACATCAGGCAAGGCTCATCCAAAAAGGGCGGCTATTTGATGACCACACTGGGTGACGCCCATGGATCACTTGAGATTCTTGCACAACTCAGCGAGCCATTTCGACTTCTTGCCCTGAAGAGTCTCTCGGACACCGTGCGATGGGTCATTTCGCATCGACGCATTGCCGTCCCGGCTGCCAAACCGCCGAACAGGCAATTGGAGTGTGCGGGACGATCTAATTGAGTCTCTTGGCAAGCCTGGGATGGTCCAGCGAACTTTATTGCTTGAAGGTTGCGTCTCTGCACTCCCGTCGGCAACACTAGAGACTTGGTTCATTTGGACGTCGGCTTCATTCTGAGTGGACTCAGTCGTCTGGAGCGTAGGGGGAGTTTGTTTCTGAGATACATTCGGGATTGTAGTCTCAGACTCGTGGACGTCCGCCTTTTCAATTGGCACAGGCTCAGGATTGGAGAGCGAGGTGGGGGGGATCGTGGACATTGTCTGCGACTGAGGCGTTTCAGCCGGTGGCCGCTCTCCAGAGGCCTGTCTCCCACTCGTCGGTCGAGAACTCATTTTGTTGGTGGTGGTGGTGTTGGTGGTTCGCTGTTGATGTTGGTAAGTGGCGAGGAGGAGAGATGCGGGAGTTGAGCAGTCAGTGTTGCTGTGCGAAAGATGGGGCCATGCAGATTGTCTGTGTTACACAAGGAGGGCTCCAGTGTCAGCAAGTTTGTGTCACATGGTTTTCGGGTCTCGATTTGTGGCAGAGAGCTGACGGCTGAACTCAGCCGACAATGTCGGCATTCAACGACAATGTCGGAAACTGATCTCCATCACACTCTTTATGTTTTGTGATCTGCCTCCAGTCGCATTCTCATTGGATCCTTCTCACAGCCCACCATGTCCATGTTCCATAAACCCATTTGCCAGTCATACACTCGGAGCATTCGTTCCAACGTCTTCAATTATAGACAACCCGCTTCCATCATTTACATATACGCTACGCCTCCTGAATATCTTAGTCCTCCGTATCAATGCTCATCTGTAAAAGCTTGGCCGATGTTCTGGACAATTGAGTTCAACAAGGATCGCGTCGCGGGGGGCGGAGTCGTTTACGTGTCCCAAGATGGCCATGGTTTCGGAAACATGGACATATATGCATGTGGTCGTGATGTTTTCTGTGAACAGCAAGATGAGTGCATGGGGCGGCACTCAAGGTACGAGAAGACTGCTCTCCATTAGCTATTGCCTCTGTCTGTTGTTGATCGGCACTTACTGTATTGCGAGACCAAAGGAAATGTCGAGCTCTTGAGATTCTTGCACATCAAGGCATCGAACCACGAGAATCCATCATCGATTGAAACTCGAAGCTAGGTATCACGCGCAAGTAAGGTACAAGCATACAAATGGTCTCTGCCCTCTCGGCGCGCGTAGATCTTGAGCAACAACGGATCATCCACACGAGGTTGATGAGGATTCCGTGGATCTCATGAAACTACTTGTCCATATTTTCTCTATTCGTTCTCAATCGGTGGCGGCCTTTTCGTCAAGGCCTTCCCAAGCCTGTATGAGGCGCGGGATAACGTCCAATGCCCCTCAATCCCCCTTGGGAGCCACTTACCTCAGACGGGTATGGGGATGGTCGACCAAGCGGGCTGTGGTAAGGTTATGGGTAGTTAAAAGAGGCTTTAGCCCCTAGCATATAAAGGTAAAGAATACTAATAAATATATATAG